GCGAGCACGTCAGCTTCTCTCTCTCGGGTCCTTTTTGAAAATGGAAATCAGTTTGCTTTGCAGGAACCTCTGCCAGCAGAGCCAGAGGCCATGGAGTCCAGAGATTCACATGCCAGTCCCAGCAAGAAGGTTATTTCCGGCCCCGCACGACAGACGCTCATTCGGGGGACGGTGAGTTCCTGGTCGTGCTCACTCGGCCGTGCCGGGGAGCTGCTGAATGTGACAAAGAAGGTTCCCAGACTCTGTCCCTCCCACTCGTGGCCGGCAGCACGATGGTCCCCAAGATGCCCACTCATAATCCCCGAACCAAAGGCGACTGTTACCTTACACGGCAAACAGAACTTTGCAGCTGCAATGTAGGCTCTTTTTTTAAAAAATTGAATCTATTAGGGTGACATTTGTTAATAAAATTACATAACTTAATCGCCATGCAATTCTATTGTAACACATCATCTACATGTTGTATTGCGGGTTCACCACCCCAGGTCAAGTTTCCTTCCATCACCATTTATCCCCCCTTCACTCTCTTTCCATGTGCCCCCAGGGTTAAGGCTCTTGAGGTGGGGAGGTCATCCTGGGTTATTTGGGTGGGCCCCGCATAATCACAGCGGTGGGCGGCGCGGCGGGGCTACGGGAGGGAGGCAGGGAGGTCAGAGTCAGCGAAGACACGAGAACAGAGGCAAAAGTCACACAGAGATTTGAAGACACCTTGCTGCCGGCTCTGGAGGTGAAGGGACGGGGCCCAAGCCCGGGAGCCCAGGTGGCCTACAGAGTCTAGGATAGGTGAGGCAACACGGCCCTGCCGATCCAGTTCAAACTTGACCTTCAGAACTGCAAGACAATACGTTTCTGCAACAAGAACCTAATATACCAATGCAACACTCAGATTCTTTCTTCCAAGGACTTGGGAACAAATCTATGAGCTCGGAAGCTAAATGTGCCCTGAGAAGCCACCGTATGAACTAAGATCTGAAAGTGGAGGATGCGGAGCCCTGGCCGAGGAGAGGCCAGCGCTGATGTCCACCCACAGCTCCTGCCAACAGACTCGACCGCCAGCACGGGGAGCTGGTCAGGCTCCGGACCAGACCCCCCTTTCCTCTGACACCCACGGGAGTGTTCTCTGCTTCCCTTTCTCCAGACACCTATATTGCTATAATTTTTTTTTTGCTTAAAAATGTGATATATTAATTCACACTAGCGTCCCTCCCAGAGGACTTTGACTGAAACAGAACATGCACACAGAAGACAATGTGGACCCTAAAAGAACAGATCTCGGCCAAATGTTCGGAGGAGGAGGCTGCATGAAGGTGAAGGTGGAGATGGGGAGATGCATCGACAAGCCAGGGAACCCTGGAGCCTGCTGGCAACCACCAGAAGCTGGGGGAGACACCTGAGACAGTTCCCAGCCTCAGAAGGAACCTACCCTGCGGCGGACACCTTGACCTTGGACTTGTGGTCTCCAGACTCGGACACAGTCTGTTAGGCACCTCTGTATCTGTTAAGGCACCTTTGTGACCACCCAACCCTGGGAAACATGCACCCTTGTTCAGACAGGTGCTAGGCAGGCACCCGCGGTGCACAGTGGAGTGGGGTGGCCCTCAGAGCTTTCGCGCTAAGAGGGCTCCGGAGGCTAATGCCCCGGCAGGGCAGCCGGGGCCAGACCCTGGGGAGCTGCAGCAGAAGGCCTGTGTGAAAGGCAGAGCCCGCAGGCAGATGGGACCCAGGTCTCCAGCCTCAGCATAGACTTGCACTTTAACAAGGAGGACACCCGAGGGGTCGACCTAAACCCACCCACCGCACAGGTGAGGAGCTGCCTGTTCTCCAGGACCCCCACACATGGCAGACCCCACCGCCCTAGGCCTGGGACAGCCACCGGCATGCAGACAACTCTCAGAGCAGCCCGCCACACCTGGGGCTGTCCTAGAAGAGTCTCGAAGGGTTTGCAGAGTTGGACTCCTCCCTTCCCCTGCCCATGCAGTCACCCAGGCAGAAGAGACTTGAGATCCAGGGAGGCCCTGAGGCCCTGCAGGTCAGCTCAGAAGCTGCAACCTCCCCGGGAAGGTAGCTTCAGGGAAGGGAGAGGGGGCAGAAATCCTCTCCTAATCAAATTAAGTCATTTGCCATCTGGCCGCCTTGGCTTCAAGTTTCCAGAGAGCTGGGGCGGCTGCCCACAGCAGGAATTGGGGTGGGGGGTACTGGGGGAGATGGAAAGGCAGTTTCTTTCACCTGTCAGACCGGTATTACCTGAGAGCCAAGCTGAGTTGGCGATCAGGTCAGATCAAACCTAACGCCGGGCCCATGGTGAGCCTGGTGCAGTGGCTGGCTGCTTCCTTGGGAGCCCGGGGACGGGGGTGAAGCCTGGAAGATCTTTGAAGACACTTCCTCTTTCTCGGGAAGACTGAGCAGCCGGGTTACTGGGGCAGCTCCGCGGAATCCCCCGCCAGGCCTGCGGATACTCCAACGCCAGTGAGGATCCTGGAGGAGGCTCAGCCTCGGAGCCTGGGGGTCAGGCCTCCTGGGTTCGCCCCTCAGCTCTGCTGGCAACTGGCACAGCATTTGGCACCAGACCCTTCACCTCTCAGGGTTTCGGTTCCCCCAGCTGTCAAAGGGAAAAGCTTCTCGCTCTGGCCCAGTCCTGTCTGGGGCCAGGGATGCTGATGGGTGAGTTTCCGGAGTTGTGACAGTTCTTTACAGAGGAGCTGGGGCAGCCAGGGAAGGGGAAGGTGAAAGACAACAAGGGGAGGGGGGGCGAGCAAAGACCAGAGGTGAGGGGGGCAGGGGAGAGGCGGCAGGGAGGACAGAGAGGCCATTGTGTGGGTCAGAACCGGGGCCAGAGAGCTTCATCTCCCTCCCACTGGGTCCCCGGTCTGGGTCAAGAACCCAGCAGGCGGCCCCGCCTCCCCTTCCCCGCTGGGTTTCCAGTCAACCCCACCCCAACCCGGACCGAGACTCCAGGGGCCCTGGCAGGAAGCGAGGGGCCCGAGGCAGGCGGACGTTCTCACCGCGGACTCAGGCACAGCCCTGTCTTCCCTTCCCAGTGTCTCAGTTTCTTATCAGACCCCAAGGTTCAAGGCTGCAGCTTTTCGGGCCTGATGGCGAGTGCTCTCTCAAGCAAGGGAGAATGAAGGGGAGGACGCCCCGGCAGCGTCCGCAGCCACTCCCCTCCAAGGTTGCGGTCTCAGGGAGCACCATCCCGCGCCCCGCGCCCCCTGGGCACCAAAGCCTGGACTCCGGACCCCTTCTGGAGGGGAGGGGGGAGAGAGGTAGGAAGGGGACAGGAGGGCGGGGCCTAGCTCCCGTCTCCCGCGCGGAGCCACCGCCTTGCAGGACCGCTGCACCGCTGCCGCAGCCCGCCCCTCCACCCGCTCCGATTCCGGGGGAGTGGGGGGGGGGGCCCCCGAGAGCGTCTCGAGCGGACCTTGCGGACGCGCGCCGCGGTGCTGCTGGAGAGTGATGACGCGCAGATCCTTCCCCACGTCCTTAGTTTCGGGGTTTCTCGGTCGGTGAGCACGTCGCTGAGTCACCTTCCCGGAATGCCCTTGGGACGCTCAGGACCCAGCCAGGAATGCCCGGGGGCGGCACGGGGCGGCGACGCGCACCCCGGCGAAGCGCGCGGAGCCCGGGACCGCGCAGCCCCGCCGAGCTCCCGCCTCCCCGGGAACCCTCGGGCCCCGCCCCTCAGGTGTGGGGACCCGCGGCCCGAGTTACCGACCCGACCAGACCTGCCTCTCCCCTCCCTTAAGGGGCGGTGGGGAGACGTGTTGGGGGGCCGAGTGGGGGTGGGTGTGCGCGCGTGAGCCACCTCAGCCCCTTAAGGGGTTCGGTTTTTTCTAACTTCGGCCCTAACTGGTCAGGTTTGGGAAACTTCTTGGAGTCTCCGCAAACAACCGCCCCCCCCCCGGGATTTAACTCGTGTTGGCCGCAAACCCGTGCATCCGTTGCTGTGTATATCACACTCACTAACACGAGGCGTCCCCGCGTGGCTCCGTTGAAGAGAAAACTCCCAGGCACTATTGTATCTTACGGCTGAGCTCGTTGGGGGCGGGGAGCGGCGGTCACGCCCCCGATGCTGGGCTCTCCGCTGGCCTAGGCCTGTTTACGCTGCCAGGCTCCCCTCGGGGTGGTGAGGGGCCGCGGGCCCGATCGCCAGCTGTGCGGGCGCTTCTGTGGCCCAGATGAGCCGAGCCTCGATGGTGTCCCCTGGGGGAAAGGGTCCAACTTTTGAGGTTCTTGAGAAGGACTCCGCCCCCGGACCGCGGCCCCGAGCGGGTCTCCAGCTCTACTCAGGAGGAAGGTCTCGGCGGCGTCGGGCCGGGTGGTTGCGGCAGCGTCAAGGAGCTAAAAATAACCGTGTGGGGGAGAACGGGGGCTGTAGGCCGGACACCCCCGTACGGGCAGGGGTCTAGGCCTCGCATTCCGGGGGGGCTGGAGCTATGTTCGTGAAGGGAGAAGACCCCGGGGCGCGAGGGCTCAGCCTCCTGGGGCAGCCGAGGGTCTGCCCGGCGCAGTGAGACTCGGGCACCCGGCACCCTGTCGCGTGCAGCTGTGGCTTTGGGCGCGGCCGCGAGTTCGCACCGGGCCTGCGCTGCGCGTTCACCTTCACGCGGCTGGAACGCTGCGCTCGCGGCGCGCCGCTCGTGACCCGACCCCGGGCTCCACGCCTCGCCGACTGCCTTCGCCTCTCCCCAGGCCAGGCTGCAGCGCCACTTTTTTGCGGGGCGGTGGGGACACGTAGTCACGCCGCCCCGGGACCCAGCCGAGGGCTCGTTAGCTGCCGCGCCGCAGACTCGGACTGCGCGGGAGCCGACGCGGCGAGGCCGAGGACGGGCGCGCCCCAGCCGCGCTGGGTGCGGGTTCCACCCCCTCCGGCGTGCGGAGCCCGGGGCGTGGCCAGGACCGGCGCGGAGCCTGCGCCTCCTCGCACCGCGGCGGGGGGCGGCCAAGTTCACAAAAAGTTTGCGGCCCGAGGCCTCGAAGCCAGGGAGTCGGCCTGTGTGGCTCAGACGCGGGGCCGAGCCCGGGACGAGCTGCGTCCCGCCCTAAGCCGCTGCAGGGAACGGAGGTGGCGCCTCCCCAGCAAACCGGCCAGACTGGGTACGGCCGGCCGCCCACCTTGCCCTTTCTCGTGTCGTGGCTCCTGAGTGGCCCGGAGAACTGGGCCACGCACCGCGAGGCCTCCGCGCCCGCTCGGGACTCGGCTAAGGGAGGCGGCCGCTGGCGGCCGGTCCGGGGCTCCGTCATCGCGCGATCCCGGCTACCGGATGGCTCGGGGCTCGGATCTCTCGCCCCAAACTTCGTGCCCCGCGGTGTCCGCTCGAGTTCTGGGATTTTTACGCAACTGGACCCCCCCTGACAGCCCCTGGAGGGGGGGTTGAGGGGCTGGTCGGACGGAGAGAGCGCCACGGGGCTCTGACTCATCCGTCGGGCCGGAACCCGGGCCCCAGGAAGAGACCCTTCGCCGCCGCAGCTCGGCTCCAGGACGGGGACGCCCTTCGTGTGGTCACCCGGCCGTGGCTTTCTGGACCTCGCCGAAAGCTGAGTCCGGCGATGTCGGAGCACGCTGCCACCCGCGCGCGCGCGCGGTCCGAGTGTCTGGCGGGGCGCACCTCACCTCGGGGAGCCGCTCCGGACCCCGCCAGCGTCGTCTCCTCTCCCTCAGATTCGGCGGACGGAGGGAACGATGCGTGTGCCCCCGCGGCCCGGGCTCCGGGCGGGGGAGGCGAGCCCCACAGCCCACACCGCGACGCCCGCCTGGGCAGCACCGATAAGAAGCTGAAGGCAGGAGCCACCGCCGAGGGCAGCGCCCCGGGAGCACTGGGGAGCCCTAGGCAGCGGCCGCCGCGGGTCAAGGTTATGGATGCAGGTTTGTGGGGGCGGCCTGGAAGGGCTGCAGGGGATCCTCTCTCTCCCTGGCCAGGGTCAGCTGGACGGAAGAGAGGGGCTGGGGACGCTGAAGAGACGCGCTGTCCCCGACGAGTCCAGAAACGGGCTGGGCCTGAACCAAGGGCGGGGGCGTCAAGGGTGCCCCGCTCCCCGCTGGAGGTCCCTGCGGGAGGCCGCCGCCTCTGGCCGGGCCCTCCTGCATCCGTCACCCCGGCGCTCGGGGCAGCAGTTCCCCCCCAGGGCCCCAGTTGTGGCCCTGCGCCCCCTAGTGGCCGATTGGTGACGCGGCCTTTTCGGGTTTGGGTTTTGCAGCCCGGGGCCCCCAGAACCAGCTCCCACGGCCCTGCATTGTACTGGTGCTGCTCAACCCACGCGGCGGCAAAGGCAAGGCCCTGCAGCTCTTCCGGAGCCACGTGCAGCCCCTGCTGGCCCAGGCCGATGTCTCCTTCAGGCTTATGCTCACTGGTGAGGGCCTTCTGGGGGCTGGTGGGGGAGGAAGGTGGTGCGGGGGAGCACCCACCCACTGCCAGGGACACCCTCCTCCAAAGCCACCTTGTCTCCCCGTCATTCCCCCCCCCCCCCCCCCCCGCTGTTGCAGAACGGCGGAATCACGCCCGGGAGCTAGTGCGGGCTGAGGAGCTGGGGCGCTGGGATGCGCTGGTGGTCATGTCTGGAGACGGAGTGATGCACGAGGTGAGGCCTGCGCCAGGAGCCGGGGCGTGGGCGGGGGGGCGGGCACTCCCAGGCTGAGGCCACCCGTGCTCCAACAGGTGGTGAATGGGCTCATGGAGCGGCCTGACTGGGAGACCGCCATCCTGAAGCCTCTGTGTAGTCTCCCAGCTGGTTCCGGCAACGCGTTGGCAGCTTCGCTGAACCATTATGCAGGGTGAGAACCCAGGGCTGTGGGCGGTGGGCCTCAGTTTCCCCTCAGTGCCGCCTCACTGCCTATTTTTTTTTAATAATTTTATTTATTTATTTTTAGAGGGGAAGGGGGGAAGGAGAGAGGGAGAGAAACATCAATGTATGGTTGCCTTTTGTGCGTCCCCTGCTGGGAACTGGCCTGCAGGGAACCGGCCTGCAACCCAGGCATGTGCCCTGACTGGGAATCGAACCGTGATCGTGTGGTTCACAGGCCCGCGCTCAATCCACTGAGCTACACCAGCCAGGGCCTCACTGCCTAGTTGTTGTTGTTGTTTTTTTAATTTTTAATATAGACAGAGGGGGAGGGAAGGAGAAGGAGAAAAACATCAAGGTGTGGTTGTTCCTTGCACACCCCCTACTGGGGGAGCTGGCCCACAACCCAGGCTTGTGCCCTGACTGGGAATTGAACCAGTGACCCTTCGGTTTGCAGGCCAGCACTCAATCCACTGAGCCACAGCTCTTTGCCTGGTTTTTAGAAATTCCCATTTGCTGGGGTAACTTCCATCCCCTCTTTTCTGGAGCTTCAGCCCTCAGTTCTGGCTCATTTTCTTGGTGATGCCAGCTGGCTGCCTATCTGCTCCATCTCCCCAGGGACCCAGTGTGGCTTGTGGGGCCACACTCCCTAGGAGGAGGAGGGGGAGGGCACATGAGGACCTTTTCCCTGCAGCTACGAGCAGGTGACGAACGAAGACCTCCTGAACAACTGCACACTGCTGCTGTGCCAAAGGCAGCTGGCCCCCATGAACCTGCTGTCCCTGCAGCTGTTCTCGGGACTGCGCGTCTTCTCCGTGCTCAGCCTGGCCTGGGGCCTCATCGCTGACGTGGACATCGAGAGTGAGAAGTTCCGGCGCCTGGGAGAGATGCGCTTCACGCTGGGCACCCTCCTGCGCCTGGTGGCCCTACGCATCTACCACGGCAGGCTGGCCTACCTCCCCGTAGAGCAGGTGGTCTCCAAGGCGCCCGCCTCCCCTCTGGACCGGCAGGACCGGCAGGGCCCCGTGGACGCCCACCTCGTGCCCCTGGAGGAGCCGGTGCCTGCTCACTGGACGGTGGTGCCGGAGCAGGACTTCGTGCTGGTTCTGGTGCAGCTGCACTCACACCTGGGCAGCGAGATGTTTGTCGCACCCATGGGCCACCGTGTGGCCGGCGCTATGCACCTGTTCTACGTGCGGGCAGGCGTGTCTCGGGCCTCACTGCTGCGCCTCTTCCTGGCCATGGAGAAGGGCAGGCACATGGAGTGCAACTGTCCCTACTTGGTGTACGTGCCCGTGGTGGCCTTCCGCCTGGAGCCCAAGGACGGGAAGGGGGTGTTTGCTGTGGACGGGGAGATGGTGGTCAGCGAGGCTGTGCAGGGCCAGGTGCACCCCGACTATTTCTGGATGGTCAGCGGCCATGGGGACCCCTCACCTTCTCTAGAGCCACAGTGGCCGCCGCCCAGCCGGAAGCCTCAGGAGACACCGCCTCCAGAGGTTTCCTTATGATTCCTTGGGCCTTGCTGTGCCTTAGTGCGTCTGCCCAATGCAATCTGAGCTTGGAGCCCTCTCCCCTTCCCCCAGGACTGGAGGGCTGTCCCAGCTCTGCGCCAGCGCCCCTGGGCAAGAGGAGGCACAGGAAGGGGAAGACTCCTGCGGAAGGCTGGGCAGAGGCTGTGCTTCAGAAAGAGCAGCCGGCTGGGCCCCCCGGTGATGTGGGAGCCATCCTGTTTTCTGGCCCCCGCCCCCCCCCAATCAAATCTGAATAAAGTCACATTCCCAGCCTGCTGGTCTTATCCTAGGGGTCGAGGTGGGGGCAGGGGCGCCGTGCTCCTGCCAGGCTCTGCTGTTCAGCATCGATGCCCAGTGGTGCCTCCTGGATTGCCTGGTCATTCTGGTGATGGGCGCAGGACCACAGCTTCTTTTGTAGCGGGTACAGCCCTGTCCTGAAATTATACGCCCTTTACCCTAGAAGCCAAGGAGCCCAGCCGCCTGCTCACCCCAGACATGGGAGGCAGGCTCACGGCCAGCAGGCTTTCTCACCTAGGACGACACAGCCTGCCAACCGCTGCGAAAAGGGAAAAGGCCTCAGGCTGCAGGCGTCAGGAAAATGCAAGGAGCAGCAGAACCCAAAGTGGCGGGCCTAGGCCCCTCCCAGGAGCAGTCTGGCACCCCTGCACCGAGGGCTCCAGTCCTGGCCTGCCTCCCCCCCCTCCTCTGCCCCACCCTGGTGGGTGGCTGTTGGGCCCCAGTTAAAACGCAGCAGCAGGGAAGGGCGGATGCCAGGCTCCCACACCCGGCCAACCTTCTGGCTCGCAGCCCAGGCCAGGTGCCCAGGTCATCTCCCCCACATCGGGCAGGTGGCCCACACGGCTCAAAATGGGCTCCTGCAGAACAAACAGCCCTGCCCAGAGACAGGGACACTGACCTTCCGGCCCCTGTGAACCCCAGGATGGGAAAGGCGGGCGGCAGGAAGCGCAGTGGGCACTGCCCCAGGCCTTCCTGGCAAGGGCGGGCCTCCCTCCCCCCGGGGAGGGCGTGTGAGGTGCCTGGAGAAGAAAGGCCACGGAGCCCAGATGAATGGCAGAGGCAGGTTTAATGGTGCCACCTTGTCTGTTTTGTACATTGTAATGAGCCAAACAAAAAAAAAATGCAAGTAAAAAAAAACAGTTTAATCACACAGCACTTTGTACAGATTTCTTAAGCAGTGGCATTCACATCTCCACGGGGCAAGGCCCTGGGAAGCACGGCCCCGCTGGCCACTCCGGGTGCTGCTCACGCAAGACCCCGACTCGGCCCCAGGTATTGTGGCCCAGGCCCGGCTTGTCCCTCCCCGTGGCCGCTGCCCGCTGCCCGCTGCCCCCTGGGTGGAAATGACGCCGCTCGGGTGAGGAGCCAGCTTAAGGCGGACAAGACGCATCATGCTTTGGCTTCTTTTTTTGTTTTTTCTAGTAAGAGTTAATATCTTTGCTTTTGAAATTTATTTTCTTTCAACCTTAAATATTACATACGTACACCAAAAATTACATACCTGCAATGTGCTCACAGCATCCCCTTAGCCTGGAGCTTCACATTATCAAAAGCTTAGAAAACCTGTAAACCTCGGGGCCTGTCTCTGCAAGGGCAGGGACCCCCCCACCAGCCACCCCTCCCCCCTCAGATGGAGCCTGCAGAGTTGCTAAGCAAAGGGCTGACAGGCGACCTTGATCTCGTGGTGGAGAGGGCTGGCTGTGCCGTGAGCTACAGGCCACCTCCCAGCACGAGTATTTGAAAGTGGGAGGGATGGAGTACACGGGAGAGGCCCCCACATGTGCCAAGGCCCTGGATGTGCCAACGCTCCCGCCCCCGGGGTCCTGGGACGGGACCGGGCAGGGAGGAGACACTCCAGGCCTCGGGGCCAGGACTCCCCACCCGGCCACATGGGACAGAAGAGCAAGGCACCTACAGTTGTTTCTCTCCCAGCAGCTCCCTGGTCCTCGCTCCACATTGGGGTGCGAGAGCCACCACCTCTTTTGGGTATCACCCTGAACCCAGCCTAGTCTCTGAGAGCGAGCAAGTTCAACAGGCCTGAGGGCGACCCCGTGGTAACCAAGCCAGAACAGAGGCAGGAGTCGTGACCGCGGCTACAACGCCCAGGAGAGTACGTTGATGCTAGGGAGCGAGGGAGGGCCTGGGACACAGGGAGGCTACCATGGCACCGGAGAGGATGAAAGGGACCAGGGAAGTTGCCGGGGCAACCCGCACTTCATGCACCGCACGGCCACCGGTCCCGCTGCTGCTCTGCACAGCTCTGGGGTGGGGGGCGCCGTGCTGGGCCATTTCGCCTGGGGTGACAAGTGGAAAACCGGCCACAGGGTTCAGACGGGCTTTGCACAGGGGGCTCGCCTGCAGACAGACTACTTCCGAGTAGAAGTGGCAGCATCTCAGAAACTTCCTGCGCATCAGCATCAAGCTCTCCTTGGGAAGAGGGGGCCCCGGGGGGGCTTGCGTCAGGGACAGAGGAGAGAGTGGGAAGAGGGGCAGGTCCAGGGGAGGGAACGAGCAGGCAGCAGCTGGCCTCTCCCACCGCAACGCTCCGTCCCACGGGCCGGGGGGCTACTTGTCGTCCGTGCATTCAGGCATACCCGCCTCAACCAGAGCGGCCCGGAACTGCGCCAGAACACCCCGCACGCTCTTGATGAAGCCCTTGGAGAGCGGGAAGAGGGGGAAGCCGATGTCAGGGTAGCCGCTCTTCTCAGGCAAGAAGCTCCGGTAGCTCTTTCTTCGCTTCTTTGGTTTGACACTGGGTGGCACTGAGGCATCTGGCGCCGCCTCCGAGGTCTGGTCTGTGTGGTCCCTGCTGGCTGTGGCCGGGCCCTGGACGACCTCTGAGTCTGAGCCCTGGGAGGCCTCGCCGGGGGCCAGCCTGCCATCCTCAGGTTCTGCCTGGCCGCCGTCCGGGAGCTCGGCCACTGCAGAGCTGCCGTCCGTGGAGGCCCCACTGGGCAGCGTCTGGGCCCTCTCCAGCAGGGCGTGGGTTTCCAGCCAGGACTCGATGCGCCTCACCAGCCGCCAGCCGCCGGCGCTGAAGTGCTGCCGGATCTCCTGCTGGAAGACCTCGGGGGGCCGCCGCACCAGCTGGGTCATGGACTGCACCACTCGGATCAGCGCCATCTCGTTGTAGCAGCGGCTGTTCTCGTAGCCCTCCTGCAGGCCCCGGTCGCTGTCAAAGCCGGCCTCGTTGTAGTAGGGCTCGTTCACCAGGATCAGGCCTGCGGGCAGGAGCCATCAGGGGTCAGGGCCCCGTACCTCCACCCCAGGCAGGGCCAGACCTGGAGGCAGGGGCAGGGACACCAGACTCTGCCCCGAGCCCCGCCCACAGTACCTTGAATGGAGATGAGCACCTGAAGAAGGCTGGACTTGCTCGTCCACCTCTCTGTCCCCTAAAACACAGATGGCACAGTCAGCTCCGTCCCGACACCGCCCCAGAGGGCCACCCCTCGCCCAGGTGGCAGCACGGTGCTCACCTTTCCGATCCAGGTGCCCAGGAGGCTGACGCACACCTTCCCATTGTCATATAGGTTGGGGTTCAGACGGCCACTGCACTGGGAGAGGTAGCAAAAGTGGGGGGGCACAGCTGGGTAGATGTTGGGGAGCTGGATGTCAAACAGGTAGAGGCCGTCCTCGTAGGGGGTGCGCGTGGGGCCCTTGATCAGGGCTGAGAAGAGGTCCTGGGTGGAGGGAGAGGCTGTGGTTGGCAGGCGCTTCTGCGCAGGGCCTGGTTTGCGATTTTCCGGGGCACTGAGGGCACGGGAGCGGCACCCAGGACGCCACACACCGCCAGTGGCTGAGGTGAGCGTGACCCTCCTGCACCTTTTAACTCCCAGCATCCAAGGGGTTTCCCAAACGGTTTTTATCCTACCAGGTTTTATTCCTCAACAATCACTACTTTAAAGTTGTAGTCCTCAAAGCAGCTGCTCTGAACCCAGACCAAAGAGGCGGGCCACAAACAGTGGGTCAGAAGACGGAAGGAGGCGCGTCCAGGAGGGCCAGGCTGCCCACGCCTCCAGTGACCAGAGCGGCAGGGGCCTGAGCCCCAGAAGGAGGTGCTGGGAGGCCACCAAAGGGCCGGGGGCCGCTGAGCCCTCAGGGTGGCGCCCCACAGCGAGCCGCTGCCACCAGCGTGTGCCAGGGCCAGTGAACGGTGACCCGGGGCACCGGCAAGGGCCGGGATCCCTTCCAGTGTGTTCCCGGGGCCTCAGGTTCCCGCAAGGCTTCCCTTCCCTCAGAGGGAGATTTGGAAAAAAACAGAACAAAGGAGAAAGTGCTACGCACTGTGTCCCTCTGCAGAGCTGAGACAGGTTGGAACTTTCAAAAATAATTTCACTAAAACCCAAGAAAAACCAAAAGTACTAAGAACCTCGAGCAGCAGCCCACGCTAGTTCCCAGCCCTGCCGTGGTCTCTGGCGCCACGGCCACCTGGACAGCACCCCTCCGCGGGCCCTGCTTTGCCCCTTGCTCTAGGGCTGGGCCAGAGCTGACGCCTCAGTCAGACTCTCCCTGTCTTGCTGGGTGCCTGGCACCCAGAGGGGCCCCGAGGGGTCTGTTAAATAAATAAGGCGAAGGCCCTGGCCAGCGTGGCGCAGTTGGTCGGAGCGTTATCCCGGCAATGGAAAAGGGTGTGGGTCTGACTTCTAACCAGGACGTGTGCCTAGGCTGCGGGCTCAGCCCCCCGCTTGGCATACACGCAGGAGGCCGCCAGTCGAGGTCTCTCTCCCTCTGCCTCCGTGAGGATTTGAACAACGAACTGAGACAACGTGAGACAACGTGGAAGGGTCGGCCATTCCTGGAACACAGCACAGGGTCACAGTGACACTGACTAGGACTGGGCCACTCGGACCCTGGGCCCGGCCACCGAGACAGAGCGGGGGTGCGGTGACAGGGTCACAGGAGAACGGCGGTTTGGAAGCTAAAGGGGGGGCCAGCCCAGTGTGAGCCCGCGAGGGGCTCTCAGAGTAACCCTGCAGAGCGCGAGAGCAAACCATAGGTGCCGTATATAGTGACGTGCTAGTCACGTAAAACCACGCAAAACAGTCCCTGTTCACGATGATGCACGAGGATGTTGGGAAGAAAAGGCATCATGACTTCCGGGTCATGACCCCTGAGGGCAGGGGTCAAAGACAACTTTGTTTTTCTCTGTAACGTTCTAATTTTTCAAAAAGAAGGCCCGACTTGGGTGACAACTACATCATTTAAACCTAACTCCAGAACAGAAAGAACAAGCCACCTGGTGTAGTCACGGC